CCAGAGCACGCCAGGCACCTCTGTCCTCCACTACCTCCCGCAGTTTGGTCAAACTCATGCTGGTAACCTCGAAAACACTATCCAACCATCTCGTCCTCTGTCGCCCCCTTCTCCTTGTGCCCTCCATCTTTCCCAGCATCAGTGTCTTCTCCAGGGAGTCTTCTCTTCTCATGAGGTGGCCAAAGTATTGGAGCCTCAGCTTCATGATCTGTCCTTCCAGTGAGCACTCAGGGCTGATTTCCTTCAGAATGGAGAGGTTTGATCTTCTCGCAGTCCATGGGACTCTCCAGAGTCTCCTCCAGCACCATAATTCAAAAGCATCAATTCTTCGGCGATCAGCCTTCTTTATGGTCCAGCTCTCACTTCCATACATCACTACTGGGAAAACCATGGCTTTAACTATACGGACCTTTGTTGGCAAGGTGATGTCTCTACTTCTCAAGATGCTGTCTAGGCCTGTCATTGCGGGCTAACTAATACAGCGCCCTTAAGGTTCTTTCTCTTTAGGCTTCTTCACTCACTTACTTCTTCATGCAGAGCAACATTAAACTATGGAACTCCCTCCCACAAGAGGCAGGGATGGCCGTCAACTTGGATGGCTTTAAATAAAGAATTGGACAAATTCATGGAGGGCAAGGCTCTTAACAGCTTCTAGTCATCATGGCTACATTCTACCTCCATGGTCAGAGGCAGCCAAGTTTCTGAATACAGTCGTACCTCTACTTACGTATCCCTCTAGATACGGAATCTTTGGGTTACGGCCTCAGCAAACCTGGAAGTGTATACTTTCTGGGTTTTGCCTGGCGCACATGCGCAGAAGTGCTCTACGCACCTTGCACATGTGCAGAAGCACTCAATCACGCCGTGCATGTGCGCAGAAGCCCGCCTCTATTTACACAATTTTCGGGGGGGGGGGAATGAACCCCCAGAATGAATTAAGTTCATATTCGGAGGGTCCACTGTACTAGTTTTGGGAAGCCATAGGAGGGGAGGGTTGTTCTTGAACTCATGTCCTGCCTTGGGGGCTTCCCAAAGGCATATGATTGTCCGCTGAAATGCTGAATTAGATTCCCAATTGGCCAGCACCAACCAGCAGGGGCTCCCTTTTTCAAAAAAATTTATGGAATATTTTCACATAACAAATTATTCCAACAAATCATCTTCATTATGTTTCCCCCCATTTCCCCCTCCCCTCCTTCCTTCTTCCCTACAACTTCCCTCAGCTCCTCTCCCTGATTTTTTAACACATATTATTCTCTGCATGAAGGGACGCAGGTGGCGCTGTGGGTTAAACCACAGAGCCTAGGACTTGCCGATCAGAAGGTTGGCGGTTCGAATCCCTGCGACGGGGTGAGCTCCCGTTGCTTGGTCCCAGCTCCTGCCAACCTAGCAGTTCGAAAGCACATCAAAGTGCAAGTAGATAAATAGGTACCGCTCCAGCGGGAAGGTAAACGGCATTTCCGTGCGCTGCTCTGGTTCACCAGAAGCGGCTTAGTCATGCTGGCCACATGACCCGGAAGCTGTACGCCGGCTCCCTCGGCCAGTAAAGCGAGATGAGCGCCGCAACCCCAGAGTCGGTCACGACTGGACCTAATGGTCAGGGGTCCCTTTACCTTTACCTTATTCTCTGCATGCTATAAAAATGTAAAGATCCTCAACTTATCTATCTTTTATATTAGTAACAATAAATCTGTGTATGTTTATTCAAAACTTGCCAAGGAGTCCAGTTCCTTTTTCTTTTCAGTCTATTTTTGTTGAAACTTTTCAGCATATGATATAACAAAAACAGATTAATCAAAATATTTTATTTTTTAAAAATCACAAAAAAGAGAGAGAAAGAGAGAGAAAAATACATACATACATACTGTACATGCATATATGCATACATACATGCTTCTCTATTAGAGGTAGAATTTCACTGCTGGGGGTGGACCCTCCCAGCTCTCACCTAGGAGTTTTCCTTCTTTTCCCCAGCCTCCCACCCTGGGAGATCATTCCTTCCCTGCCTCTCACACAGGGTCTTTCACCTCCCATCCATCACCTTCCCAGCAAGGCTTTTCTCAAATCCTTATGCCCTTTAAGGAAAGTTTCCCACGAGGCCACATGCTTGTTCCACATGAGAACAGGAGGTTGCAAGAAATGACCCATTGTCCCAGGGCCGGATTTAGGTTTGATGAGGCCCTAAGCTACTGAAGGTAATGGGGCCCTTTATCTGTCCAGCTGTTCTTTGTCAACAACAAATTGCCTCTTTTTGTGTGTGTTGCATATATGCTACATGGTAATTTATGGGCCTAATAGGTATCTCAAGCCATTTGCACAGGTTGCCGTGCAACCAGTCCATGCAGAATGTAGGCACCCTATATAATAGAAAGGAGCAAACCTGTGATATTTTAGGGAGCAGGCTAGCAGGTGGGGGCCCATGACTTACATCATGGGAGCCAACACAACACAAAACACTGTTGCTGTATGTAGGTTTTATTTTATTTGGTTTTTATCTTATATTTTGGAAATGGACATCTAGGGTTTTTCACCCTTTAATTTTTTGAGGGCCCCCAAGAGAGTGGGGCCCTAAGCTATAGCTTGTTTAGCTTATACATAAATCTGGCACTGCATTGGCCTGATCCAGAAGGCTTTTCTTACGTACTTAAGCCAGACTTAGATCAGTGATCCTTGCACTGGGAGGAGTCTCCTCTCTTAAGTAGGACAGAAGGTTACCCTACAACGCCATCTTTTTGACCCCCACACATACCATTCACCGTTCATTGTAGAGCTCAATGGTGGTAATCATATGGAGCAGGCACCCCCAAACTCGGCCCTCCAGATATTTTGGGAACTACAACTCCCATCATCCCTAGCTACAGGACCAGTGGTCAGGGATGATGGGAATTGTAGTCCCAAAAGATCTGGAGGGCCAGGTTTGGGATGCCTGACATGGAGACTTGAGACACTTGGACATTAGAGTGGGTAGCAGCTGTTTGGTGTGTGTGGTGGGGACAGGGACTGTGGGGAGAAAAAGCTGTTCAGGTTGCATTTAAAGGTAGAGCTAATTAATTCAAATCTTCTGAAAAAAATATATAAAATAAACCAGAACTCGGCAGTCCCTCAATTCTGTGAATTTTCAATTGCAGTTCTCCAGCCAAGTAAAAACAGCACCTGTTAGGGCAATTAGTGAAAATAATATTAGGAAATATAGCATATTGAATGCTCTGTTTTAGGGGAAATTGCTTGGAAAATTGTGTATCTTAGACAACATTTTGAATACAAAAATGTGTACATTAGCAAAAAATTGCACTAAAAATGCTGATGAGTTTTCAGGAGGACAGTAACAACAACAACAACAACAACAACAACAACAACAACAACAATTGTACCCCAGCCACTCTGGGCAGCTCACAATAGAAATATCTAAAGTATGATAAGACATCAAACATTAAAAACTTGCCTAAAAAGGACTGGCTTCAGATGTTTTCTAAAAGTCAGGTAGTTGTTTATTTCCTTGACATCTGATGGGAGGGCTTTCCACAGGGCAGACATGACTACTGAGAAGGCCCTCTGCCTGGTTCCCTGTAACCTCACTTCTCGCAGGAAGGGAACCACCAGAAGGTCCTCAGAGCTGGACTTCAGTGTCCAGGCAGAATGATGAGGGTGGAGACGCTCCTTCAGGTATACAGGGTCAAGGCCGGTTTAGGCTTTAATAGTCAACACCAACACTTTGAATTGTGCTTGGCAACGTACTGGGAGCCAATGTAGGTATTTCAGGACTGGTGTTATATGGCCTCGGTGGCCGCTCCCAGTTACCAATCTAGCTGCCGCATTCTGGATTAATTATAGTTTTCCGGGTCACCTTCAAAGGCAGCCCCACGTAGAGCGCATTGCAGTAGTCCAAGCAGGAGATAACTAGAGCATGCATCACTGTGGCAAGCCAGTCCATGGGCAGGTGGGGTCTCAACCTGCGTACCAGATGGAACTGGTAGACAGGTGCCCTGGATACAGAATTGACCTGCGTCTCCATGGACAGCTGTGAGTCCAAAATGACTCCCAGACTGTGCACTTGAACCTTCAGGGGCACAGTTACCCCATTCGGGACCAGGGAGCCCCCACACCTGCCCGCCCCTGTTCCCCAAAAATTACTTCTGTCTTGTCAGGATTCAATCTCAATCTGTTAGCCGCCATCCATCCTCCAACTGCTTCCAGGCACTCACATAGGACCTTCACCGCCTTCACTGGTTCTGATTTGAAAGAGAGGTAGAGCTGGGTATCATCCAAATACTGATGAACACCCAGCCCAAACCCCCTGATGATCTCTCCCAGAGGCTTCATGTAGATGTTAAAAAGCATGGGGGAGAGGACAGAAACTAAGGCCCCCACAAGTGAGAGTCTAGGGGTCTGAACATTCATCCCCCAACACCACTTTCTGGACACGGCCCAAAGGAAGAAATCGCAAACTGATGTGGAAATGTGAAAAACTGAATGTAAGAGTGGAAAAAATGAAAAATGGAGAGAAAAATGAAATTGCAGAGATCTGCATGTCCCAAGTTGCAGGCAATTCTAGTCCTTCTCAGGGTTATAGTCATGAGAGGAATGGCTAACCTCAGGTCCATTAATGTCAGTAGTTCTGCTCTAAGTTAGTTGCATGTAACCCACTGGACTCGTTCCACTATTGCTGCATAAAAATACCCCCAGCATCAATATTTCACCATAATCTAGGTCACTTCCAGGAAACTCCATGCCCTTCCCATATTCTCAAAAACAGGTTCCACATTATTTTTATGAGGCTCTAAGTAAATAATACAAAGGACTTCCTCATACTATGTGCAAACTTGGTGTTGGCAAATGATGGACTGTGACTGGTCACAAGTTTGTTGGGGAAGGGGAGGAAAGGCCCCCCCCAAGTGTGTTGCTGAAGGAAGAACTTCACCATATATCTTGAGCAAGAGGTGACTGGTTTGAGGGATTAATGTGTAAAGAAACAAAGATTTCACAACTAGGGGTGGTAGCAAAATACTGGATAGAGTATAAAAGGTGGGTGCTTCATAGGACTCTTCACCACACCTTGGCTCATCTTAGCTCTCTCATCAATCACCATCTGAGGTAAGTTGAAGACAACGGGGAGGTTTCCTTGACTGATTTTGTAGGTTTCAGCCTTTGTGTTAGAGATAGGATGCTACTTGTTTTTCAGGGTATCTGCTGATGCTACAGGAACACCTGAATAGTCTCCCCTGCAACAATAAATACCAGGGGAGAGATCTCATCTGAGAGGTGGCCAATGTGGTGCTTTCTTGATGTTGCTGGACTCTCAATGCCCATCACCTTGACCATTGGCCAGGCAGGCTGGGGATGATGGGAGACGGAGTTCAGCAACATCTGGAGGACCTCGGCCTTTAAATTTCTGTAAGTGCCTTTAATATGTGATCCCTGATTGGTGGGGCATGTGTCTAGGATATGGATGGGGAGCCAGATGTTTCTGTCTACAGCTCCCATCATCCCTAATTATTGACCATGCTACCTGGAGGTGAGGGAGTCTTAACAGCACCCAGAGGGCCATGATGTTGGCTCTCCCTGCTCTAAGACAGTGAATCCCATGTCTGGTGCTCTCCAGTTGTTTTGCACTGTAGCTCACATCAGCCCCAACATTGTGGCCGATAGCCAGGGCTGATGGGAATTGTAGACCCAGACATCTGGAGGACACTCAGTTGGGCAAGGATGTCTAGGATCAGAGATGGCTTCGAATTTTAAGTGGCTTAGAAAAAGTGGCTTAAATAATAACTAAACAAGGGTGCAGAAATCTTAACATACAATGTGTCTTACTGTAGAGGGGAAAGACTCTCACCAGGTGACCTGCATATCTCCTCAGATGACCTGTCCAGGTCCTAAGTCTGGATGAACCACTTGAAGGCACTCACTTGTGTGTGTTTAAACCAAATATTTAAACTAGACTTGAACTGTTTCTTTCTTTTGTCTAAAATGAGAATCTATCTATCTATCTATCATCTATCTATCTATCATCTATCTATCTAATCTATCTATCCAGGGTTGCCTTTGACAAAGTCATTCTGTTAGGTAGGATCCCAGAAGGGTGGTGAACCTGCGGCTCTCTAGATGTTGCTCTAAATTAGTTGCATGTAACCCACTGGCTTTGTTCCACTATTGCTGCAAAAAAATGCCCCCGGCATCAATATTTCACCATAATCTAGTTCACTTCCAGGAAACTCCATGCCCTTCCCATGTTCTCAAAAACAGGCTCCATATTATTTTTATGTGGCTCTAAGTAAAGAATACAAAGGATTTCTTCATATTATGTGCAAACTTGGTGTTGAATGGTCACAAGTTTGTTGGGGAGGGAGAGGGAAGGCCCCCCAGGTGTGTTGCTGAAGGAAGAACTTCACCATATATCTTGAGCAAGAGGTGACTGGTTTGAGGGATCAATGTGTGAAGAAACAAAGATTTCACAACTAGGGGTGGTAGCAAAATACTGGATAGAGTATAAAAGGTGGGTGCTTCATAGGACTCTTCACCACACCTTGGCTCATCTTAGCTCTCTCGTTAATCTCATTAATCACCGTCTGAGGTAAGTTGAAGACAACGGGGAGGTTTCCTTGTCTGATTTTGTAGGTTTCAGCCTTTGTGTTGGAGATAGGATGCTACTTTTTTCAGGGTATTTGCTGATGCTACAGGAACACCTGAATAGTCTCCCATTCATCATCTCTGACCAGGGGTGAAACTCATCTTTATTTCTCCTGGGTCAGAGACTCAGTTTGGCGTACACACACACACACACACACACACACACACACACACACACAGCATTTGTGTACACACACAGACTGGAAGCCTCAGTGGCACCCCTCTGGAGGCTTCATCCAGGGCAAAAAACCCTGCTAGTTCCCCTGTAGCTACAGGTCTGCCCCTGACCATCAACCATGGTGGCTTGGGCTGATACAAGTTGGAGTCCCAAGCCACAGGTCCATCTAGCTGAGTACTTTCTGCACCAGACTAGAGAGCCCATTTATCTGGGATTGTCTCTAATGAAGTTGTTCAATTAGTGCAAGGATTTCCACTAGTGTAATGGAGCTCCTCTCCTCTACTTGTCACCCCCACCAAACCTGTTGAGGATGTTCTACCAGCCCTACAGAGGAGGTCCGAGGAGAGCACAGGAAGAGCACAGGGAGATTAAGTTCTATCATTCAAGTGGAAATCCTTGCACTATTTCAGACTAGACTTAGCAGCGCCTATGGTTTTACATTCTCTTGAATCTTGTGGCACCAGTGCATCATGAAAACTCCTTCATTTCTCAAGGCTGTCTCTCCACTCTGTGTCCGACTGCATTAGTCAAATTTTCCTTCCTTCCTTCCTTCCTTCCTTCCTTCCTTCCTTCCTTCCTTCCTTCCTTCCTTCCTTCCAGACTTTGTTTATCCAGTCTTCAATGGTTGGAGTCATTCTATTTTCCCAGTCATGGCAGATAGTTATTAAATATTAAATCAATATTAAAGGAGACATTTAATTGACTTTTTTTGCATTTATTCTTATGCTCTTCTTATGTCTATTTAGGTTACCAACAGAAAACCTTCAAAATGTCCAAGTCCAAGACTCAGATGCAAGTTCTGGCCGATGGGCTGATTGAGCTCTTCCATAAATATTCTGGGAAATCTGACACCATCGACAAGAAGGAGTTCAAGAAGATGATCAACGAGCAGTTTCCTGACTGCGTTGAGGTGAGGTGGAGATAAGATGGGCGTGGGCAATTGTTGGGCACTTGAAGCCAGAGGTGACACATTGGCATCAATGTGTAGCACGCCTCTGGGCATGTTAAGATAGTGATTGGCACCTTAGCAAGGCAGCACTTAGAAGTGAGCAAGGCTACCCTGTTAGCGAAGTATATTTAGGGATGGGTGGATATGTCCATTTCAGTGGGTATCATTTTCTCGTTTTCTCTTAAATTCAGCTCTCCACATTTTGAACATTTATGTATTAAAAAAATAAAATCCTCTTTTGGCAAAGCAATTTCCCCTTATAATGATTTTTTTTTTGGTATGATATTTTCACTAATCTATTTTAAACACACTTTGCCATAGTAAAAAAAAGAGAGTAGTACATGCATTTCTTAACACTTAGCTGGATAAGTACATTCCAGAATCTGAAGAAATGTGAATTTGGCAGGGTGAGATTCAAATGTGAGCTGGATTGGATCTCTCCCCTATAGATAGATATATAGATATACGTCTCAGGAGAATTGGGGGCTTAGGCTTCTCAGTCATCCTCAGATAAAGTCTGAGAAAAGCAATGCTCCACGAGACCTAAAGCCCAATTAGTCTGGCATCTGGCTCTCACAGGGCCCAACCAGATGTCTCTGGGAAACCTACAAGCAGAAGCTGAGCACTAAAAGAGGAATATACCCCCCTTTAAATGACCTGAGTATTAAAAGAGAAAGTTTTCTTCTCCTTTACGTTGCTGCTCATTTGGGTCTGCGTTCAACTTCTCCTGATGTTATTTTGCATTAATACCATTCTGTTAAACCGGTAGTGGGGAAACTTTCAGTCCTCCGGTTGTGGCTGAACTACAACTCCCATCAGCCCTGGCAAGTATGGCCAATGACCAGGGGTGAGGATGGGAAGTGTAGTCTTGATGATGTCAGGAGGTTCTCCCCATCTATGGCAAACCTTTGTTTCGCGATGGTCTGATGTCTTAGATGCATATCAACAAATTTCAACCTGAAACCTTTTGTTCCTCCCTTCCTTCTCCTCCCTACAGTACCCACAAAACCAGCAAGGAAAAGACAAGCTCTTCAAAGACCTGGACACAAACAAAGATAACGAATTGAGTTTTGAAGAATGGACCCGTCTGGTTGGGTCATTCCTCTCTTGCGCCCACGTTAAGTTCCACCAGCATGAGGGACATCACCACCACCACTGAGAAGAGACCCAGCAGGTCCTCCAGGGGACTGTGGTCAGGGGCATGTTGGATACCAACCTTCCAAACAAACAAAGCCCCCCCTGCCCACATCCCCTAGCTTGAAATGTAATGTTTTGGCAATAAAATAAGAAATAATCATTTAACTTGGAAAGTCTAGGATGTCTTACTTTTTGGGGTGACAAGGCAGTTTGAAACAGGTTTTGAGAGCGGCGGGGAAAGGTTGCGTTAGTTTTCTGGTTCTGGCTTCCATGCTGTATTCATCTCTGCGACTTCTGCTTTTTACAACAACCCCTCAGTGCGACTCCATTCCTACTTGACTCACAACTCTGCCAAGTATGTTGCCCTTGTAGAACGCTCTGCTGAGTCCCTGCAACATTCTTAGATGATAATAGGGACATCAGCATTTGAGGAATGTTGGAGGGTATGCAATGTTTTTATGGGATCATAGGCCTTTCAGGAAATACCTAAAATCAAATATTAAGCCAAGTGATGCTCAGAAACTGGATGAGGCCAAAGGGAACGAGCACCGAAAAGCTAGCTTTGCAAGGCTTTGCTTCAGCTGCATTCCCTTTCCTTGCAGTTGCTCACTTAGACATGTAGAAGCAAGTTGATTTGTTGTAAAACAGCCAGCAGATGAGATTAACCCTGCCTCCACCTGATGCTTGAAGAAAATAGAATCTCTCACCGAATAAAAAGAGGAAGACAAAAACAAAGGGAAGCATACAAACACACACGTGTGTGGGTCTCCCTCTTGGGAAGAAATTTAAAATCCTCTCAATATATGTACTTAAATATGGGGGAGGAAAAAGCGCTACTGCAGGGTCACCAGTTGGAGGAGGAGAGGAAGAGCGTGAACGCAAAGGAGAGGAAAACGGAAGATGGAGGGAAGAAAGGAGGAAAGTGAAAGATGAAGGAGAAAGGTGGAAAGCGGAGAAGGATGTAAGGAGAAAAGGAGTAGGTTAAATATAAAAAGGAAGGATGGAGTAAGGGGACAAACATGGTAATGGATGGAAGGAGAAGCGGGTGTATGGAATAAAGGAAAAGAGCTGAGGAAAGAGGGAGAAAAGAAGGGAAGGGGAGGGAGAGAGAGAGAGAGAGAGAGAGAGAGAGAGAGAGAGAGAGAGAGAGAAAGGAGGATGGGACAGGGAAGGCAACCAGAGGATGGATAAAAGGGATGAAGGATGAAGAGGAAGGCAGGAGGAGGATGCTGTGTTCTGCATAGATCCATTGATTGCTACTTGTAGCCAATGGTAGTCCTACTCAGAGTAAACCCATTGTAATACACATGGTTCACGTCAGTCTATGTGTCTTAGCAGGGTCTCCTCTGGGTATAAGTTGGCTGCATATGACCCATGGAAATCATTCCAACCATTGCAGAAAAGAATGCACCCAGCGTTCCATATTGCGCAAGAATGCACGCCGTTTTCAGAAACTTCGGGCCCCACCTATATCTACAAAACGGTTTAACCGCAATGTGATTAATGAGTTCTAAGAAAGCAATGAAAAGTGATGCCGCGCCATGGGTGTAAACCTGTTGTTCCTAAATGATGAACGGTGATTGGCCAAAAGCTGTAGGGAGGGAACCCCAGCCCCCAGAGGTGCCTTGCTGAAGGAAGATCTCCATCAGATACCTTGAGAACCAGGTGCTCAGGGTTAATCGGTTCAACATGGGAGTGTCATTTGAGAAGGAGCAAAGATTTCATAAGTGGGGGGTGGGAGCAGGACTCTGGATAGGGTATAAGAAGTGGGAGCAATTTAGGGCTCTTCATCCAACTTTGGTGCATTCAAACTCTCTTGTTTATCACCAACAAAGGTAAGCTGAAGACTATGGGAAGCTTTCTTGGGTTCTTGTTGGGTTATACATTGGACATAGGGTGCTAAATCTTTTTGAGATTATCAGCTAGGGCAGGGATGAAAAACCTGTAGGCAAGAATCCAGATGTTCTGGACTCAAACTCCCACCAGCCCCAGTTAGCGTTGTCAATGGACAAGGATGACAAAGTCCGGCAACCTTTGGAGGATTGTATGTTCCCCATTGTTGCAGTAGCTCTAACACAATTCAAGGTGCTCACCTTGGTATTTAAAACCCTAAATGTCTCACTAGTTCCCTGCAGAACCTCTCAAGTGATATGGTCTTTGTAGGTCCATCACTCTCTGGAGCTTGGTTGGTGATGGTGGCCTGGAGAAGACCTTCTCTGTGGCAGCCCCTTAGTTGTGAATCTCCTTCCACAAAGAGGTTCATCGTAGAATATTAGAGTTGGAAGGGACTCAAAGGTTCATTTTGTCTAATTCCTTGCAATGCAGGAATCACAGCTAAAGCATCCATTGTAGATGACCATCCAACCTCTGCTTAGAAACCTCCAAGGAAGGAGAGTCTACAACTTCCTGAAGGAGTCCATTCCACTGTCAAACAGCTCTTACTGTCAGAAAGTTATTCCTGTTTAGTTGGAATCTCCTTTCTTTAACTTGAATCCATTGGCACATCCAGCACCTTCATTATACAGTTTCCAGTGTAGAGGCACCACTTTGTGCTGGCTTTTGACACTTGTAAGTTGCTTTAAATGGGTTTTAATATGGTGCTTTAAGGTTGAAACCTGTCTTGGGACCATACGGGAAAAGGTGGAGAATAATGACAATCTCAGTACTTTGTGAGTACAGTGGAACCTTGGATTGCGGACATAATCCATGATGGAGGCATGTCTGCAACCTGCAGCGCTGTGTCGGCACACGCATGGAGCTTTCCTCTCCCCTCCACCAAATCTGTTCTGGGAGTTCCCCCAACCCTCTGGAGCAGATGTAGGGTGTGGAGCCTAGGGAGATAAGGTAAAGTTCTGTTATGCAAGTGGAGATTCTTGTGCTAACAGAATAACTTGGAGGTGTCCAGACCAAGATATTTAAGAGTATCCCTGGCAGCATCTATAGATTTACATTTAACAACAACCATCTCCTTGCACTCTGTTGCACCAACGCATTATGAAAACTCTCCATTTCTGAAGAAAACAATTCCAAGGCTGTCCACTCTCTTTCCCCCTGGCTGTATTAGTCAATTTCACCATGTTTACTAGGTCTCCAGATTTTGCTTATCTACTTGAGATATTTATCTTTATATTTTTGAGTTTTTCGAGTTTTGACAGATAGTTAGGCAGAAAACATGTATTATCCTTTTCTACGAAAAGAAGTGCTGGAACTCACCGTGAATGCCTCACTTGTTCTCTTATTATGGCAGTGGCGCCCACCTGACTTTTCCTGAGTTCTGGGACAAAAAACCGCTTGTATATCGCAATTTAAGGCTGGATCTTTAACTAACTAAAAAACAAAAATAACAGACAGGTTTGTCAGGAATGCACATCCTGGGGTTATTTCCATTTCCCTTATTGCATGATGGCAAAATTACATAGTCCCCAATACATGTTGCATGTTTGCAGTAGAAACTTGGGTAAGTAGATAATGCAATCAATCAATATGTAAGTAGTTCTACAGGTAAGCCATCTGAACAACACTTAAATGAACTAAATAAAAAACAAATGAACTAAATAAAAAATTCAAATGGAGAGCTGTCCTGTGCTAAGTAGGACACATGGACACTCTATTCTTAATCCTGAAGAATTATAAAATCAAAGATTTGGAAGGGACCCTGAGGATCATCTAGTCTCAACTCCCTGCAATGCAGGAATATGCAGCTGCCCCATATGGGTATAAAACCAGCAGCCTTGCTGTTATCAGCACTACGCTCTAACCAATTGAGCAACAAATAATCCAGGCAGAGCCGCTCATGTGTTCCTATGAATTCCCAGGTTGCCACCAGAAGCCCTTCAGAATGTCCAAGCCCAAGACTGAGTTCCAACAACTTGCTGAACAATACATAGACATCTACCACAGGTACTCTGGGAATTCTGACAGCCTTGACAAGCAGGCATTTAAGAAGATGCTGGATGAGCAGTTTCCTGACATTGATGAGGTGAGGGGGAGATAAGAAGAGGCAGGGGCAAATTCTGGCCACTCAAGGGCCTGGGACACCCATTGGCACCAGTGTGCAGGGTTCCTTTGGCCACGTTAAGAGGGGGAGGGGCTGAAATCTCACCAGGTCTCTGCTTTGAAGGTTGCTCAGCTACTCTGAAAACAAAGCATATCTAGGGATGGGCAGATATGTCTGTTTCAGTCACTTTTCAGTCTTAAATCCCATTCTCCCCATTTGCGCTGCATTTTTTAAAAAAATGTTTACTGTAATTCTTTCCTATTAAAGATATTTTTGCATGCATTTTTGCCCAATATACACATTTTTGCAAAGCACCTTTCCCTAATACGCTGCATTTTTGTATGTTATTATTGCATAGATGATCGATATAGACAGATAGATTATAAATATATAGATGATAGATAGTGATGAAAGATGATAAAGGGAAGTAATTGATATTTTAAGGATGTAAAAATGAGTACTTTAAATTGTAAAACAGAACATTTAATTAAAAAGATAGATAGATGATAGATGATAGATAGATAGATATAGCTATATTTGTGCACACCTTACTGTAGCATATGAATTTTTATACATATTACTTGGCTGGGGAAATCCAACAAACACATCTGAAGTCTTCTCTCCTCCATTTCCCCACCCCAACACTGCAGTCTCCCTTGAAGAAACAAAAGAGAGACCAGCTCTTCAAGGAGGCGGACATAAACAAGGACGGCAAACTGAGTTTTACTGAAGTGGCCCACTTGATCGCAAAATTTATCGCTGAAACTCATGACAAACTCCACAAGTAAGAAGGGCGTCCCCTTGGCCACTGGGAAAATGGCCCAGCTCATCCTCCAGGAGATGGTTCTCAAGGGCGTGTTGGATGCTAACCTTCCAAACATACACAAACCCTTTTCCGCATTCACTATCTTGGAATCTAATGCTTTGGCAATAGAATAAGAAATAAACATTTTACTTGAAAATCATTGGGTGTTTTATTTCAACCTCATTCTGACAAACTGCCATGTTACTGCCTTTTCTATATTCAATCTCTTGCCTGGGAGACTATGGAAGATTTGCTTCTTCACACACCTCTGCCTACCTTGCAGGTTGATTCACGATACATGTGGGCATCTAGTCCTGCGCTCCTTGCTCAGGGATCCATCAATAGAAACCTCCTCTGGTGTGGTGGCTAGGAGACGAGGCTTTGTTTGATTTATTTCTTGTATTTATCTCCCCTCTTTCCTCCAAGGAGCTCAAGGTTCTGTACATAATTCTCCTCCCCATTTTATCTCCACAACAACCCTTACGCATTAGAGTTAGGCTGGGAGTGAGAGACTGGCCTCAGCTCACCCAGTGAGGTCCATGGCTGAGTGGGGACTTGAACCCTGATCTTCCAGAGCCTAGTCTAACCCTCTAATCACTACACCACACTGTCTCTCTCAGTTCAACTCTACAATTCCGTGATTCTTCTGCATCAAGATTAAGGTGTCCATGTGTCCTATTTAGCACATTGCAGCTCCCCATTTGAACTCTATTTTTTATTTAGCTCATTTAAGTGTTGTTCATATGACTTGAGGGACATGGGTGGCACTGTGGGGCCTAGGACTTGCCGATCAGAAGGTCGGCGGTTCGAATCCTCGCGACGGGGTGAGCTCCCGCTGCTCGGTCCCTGCTCCTGCCAACCAAGCAGTTCAAAAGCACGTCAAAGTGATATCAAAGTAAGTCATATGACTTACATCAGGGGTCAGAAAACTTTTTCAGCAGGGGGCCGGTCCACTGTCCCTCAGACCTTGTGGGGGGATGGACTATATTTTTTGTGGGGAAATTAACGAATTCCTATGCCCCACAAATAACCTACAGATGCATTTTAAATAAAAGCACACCTTCTACTCATGTAAAAACACCAGGCAGGCCCCACAAATAACCCAGAGATGCCTTTTAAATAAAATGACATATTCTACTCATGGAAAAACATGCTGATTCCCGGAACGTCCGTGGGCAGGATTTAGAAGGCGATTGGGCCGCATCTGGCCCCCGGGCCTTAGTTTGTCTACCCATGACTTACATATATAACTACTTACATATTGATTATTTGCATTATCTACTTACCCATGTTTGCACTGCAAAAACGCAGCAAAAAAATAAATAAATACAACATGTATTAAAAGAATGTAATTTTGCCATGATGCATTGGATTGGATTGATCTTTATTACGGCCATTGGCCCGTCACACGACAGTTTCCCATACCAACCAACATAATGTACTTGAACCTCCAAATTTAAAACCGCCAAAACTTACAAAAAACAGACAAGAACCAAAGCAAAACAAAAACAAAAGGCCAACATCATGCATTACAATAAATTTGTAACATAAACGTCGCCCTCTGCTCATAAATTAATAGAAGACATCAATGGTGATATCACCTAATTACATCCTAAAACATAGATCATGGTTTAAAGGGATTATCCGAGCCGCACAGGAGTCCGTTTCTCTTCTTTAGGGATAGGACGCTGATCAAGAATCTGGCAACCATGAGTGATCTTAAGGGGTCATCATCATTTAATAGATATCTCAGTTTGGCTTCATTCGTATCATCGGCAATTCCCTTTAGATATTGAGCAAGGAACTTGCTCCTGGCCGATGAGTGAAAAGCACAATCAAGAATTATGTGATGCAACGATTCCGGTGCCCCACAATTACAATCACATAAGAGCGATATCTGTCCATTGGAGAATCTATTTCTCAGCACGTTCGATGGGAAGGTGTTGAATCTTGCCTTTACAAAGGCATATCTATGAGCCGAAGAAGTTAAGGAATTCAAATAGTTTGGGAGCCTTAAGAGGGGTAATAAACCAAGGTTTAGAGGTGAGCAGGTACCATTGCCCAAGACCATTTTCTGCTGCAAGTCCATCTCCTTTAGTTTACAGGTTACTGTTCTTTTAGCTGGAACTATGTCCTGCTCTAGTAATTTGGATGGGGAGATTCCCATTGCCGTAATTTTCAGCTGTAAATTTTTTACCCATGGGCTCTGGAAATCATCTCTCCACATACATTGTATCAAGTACAAGTTTGGGAGATTGTGCCATAGAGATAACCAGTGACAAAGTATGTGCTTCCACAGAGCGTTTTCCTGCCATGATGCATTAAGAGAAATGGAAATGACGTCAGGATGTGCGCTCCTGACAAACCTCTCTGTTATTTTCATTTTTTAGTTAGCTAAAGATCTAGGCTTAAATTGTGATACACAGGGGGTTTTTTGAGCCAGAACTCAGCAAACGTCAGGTGGCTGCCACTGCCATTATAAGAGAACAAGTGAGGCATTCATGGTGTGTTCCGGCACTTCTTTTCCTAGAAAAGGGTAATGCATGTTTTCTGCCTAACCATCTGTCAAAACTCGAAAAACTCAAAAATAGAAAGATAAACATCTCAAGTAGATATGCAAAATCTGGAGACCTAGTAAACATGGTGAAATTGACTAATACAGCCAGGGGCAGAGAGAGTGGACAGCCTTGGAACTGTTTTCTTCAGAAATGGAGAGTTTTCATAATGTGTTGGTGCAACAGAGTGCAAGGAAATGGTTGTTGTTAACTGTAAATCCATAGGTGCTGCCAGGATACTCTTAAATATCTTGGTCTGGACACCTCCAAGTTATTCTGTTAGCACAAGAACCTCAACTTACATAACAGAACCTTACCTTTCTTATCTCCCTAGGCTCCCCACCCTATATCTGCTCCAGAGGGTTGGGGAAACTCCCAGAACAGATTTGGTGGAGGTGACAGGGAGGGGAGAAGGAAGGCCCTCCCCCAGGCCGCTGTCACCAACCAATCTCCAGAGAGCGATGGAGCTGCAAAGAGGGCCCCCTTGGCCAATCACTTGAGAGGGTCCATAGGGAAGGAGGCAGCCCTTGAGATAATTAGGGAGTGAGACATTTAGGGCTTCAAACACCAATGTGAGCACCTTGAATTGTGCTGGAGCTGCTTACAATCCTCCAAACGTTGCTGTACTTTGTCAACCTTGTCCATTGACTATTAGAAACTTCAGGATCTAAGTAATGAAATAACCGTATTTTTTCGTGTATAAGACAATTTTTTTTTAAATTGAAGTTTAAAATATGGGGTTATCTTATGCACTGATAGTGCATAGTGCATATTCTTAATTTTGATTCTCAAAAAATAAGGGGCGTCTTTTACATGGGTGCATGTTATACACCGAAAAATACTATAATTAATATGTAAGTCACTGTATATGTAAGCCATATGAGCAACACTTAAATGAGCTAAAAAAACCAGAATTCAAATAGAGAGCTGTCCTGTGTTAGGTAGGACACATGGGCACTATTGTTGATCCTGAAAAATCATAGAACTGCCAAGTTGGAAGGGACCCTGAGGATAATCTGGTCTCAACTCCTGGAATTGCAGAAATAAGAAGCTGTCCCATATGAGGATAAAGCATGCACAAGAATGCATGTTGTTTTCAGAAACTTCGGGCCCCACCTATATCCACAAAACAGTTTAACTGCAATATGTTTTATGAATTCTAAGAAAGCAATGTTGACCAGAGGGTGTAAACTTGGGGCTCCTAAATGACGGACAGTGATTGGCCACAAGCTGCAAGGAGGGAACCCCAGCTCCCAAAGGTGTCTTGCTGAAAGAAGATCTTACTCAGATACCTTGAGCACAGGGTGCTTGTGGTTAATGTGTGCAACCGGGGAGTGTCATTTGAGAAGGAGCAAACATTTCGCAAGTGGAGGGGGTGGGAGCAGGATTCTAGATGGGGTATAAGAGGTGGGAGCGATGTAGGGCTCTTCATCCGACTTCAGCGCATTCGAACTCTTTTGTTCACCACCACCAAGGTAAGCTGAAGACTATGGGAAGCTTTCTTGGGTTCTTGTTGGGTTATACATTGGACATAGGGTGCTAAATCTTTTTGAGATTATCAGCTAGGGCAGGGACGAAAAATCTGTAGGCAAGGATCCAGATGCTCAGGATTCCAACTCCAACCAGCCCCAGCCAGCATGGTCAACAGACAAGGATGACAAAGTCCAGAAACCTTTGGAGGATTGTAAGTTCCCCATCTTTGCAGCCCAATTCAAGGTGCTCACATTGGTGTTTAAAGCCCTGAATGTCTCACTCCCTATTTATCTCAAGGGCTGTCTCCTTCCCTACGGACCCTCTCAAGTGACATGATTGGCCAAGGGGACCCTCTTTGCAGCTCCATTGCTCTCTGGAGGTTGATTGATGGCCTTCCCTTTCCCTTCCCTGTCACACCACCAAATCTGTTCTAAGAGTTTCCCCAACCCTCTGGAGCAGATTTTTTTTGGAGGGTGGGGGCAGGGGGGTGGAAAGAGAGCCTAGGTGAAGTTCTGTTATGCAAGTGGAGATTCTTGTCCTAACAGAATAACTTGGAGGTGTGCAGACCAAGATATTTAAGAGTATCACTGGCAGCACCTATGGATTTACATTTAACAGCAACCATTTCCTTGCACTCTGTTGCGCCAACACATTATGGAAACTCTCCATTTCTGAAGAAAACAATTCCAAGGCTGTCCACTCTCTCTGCCCCTGGCTGTATTAGTCAATTTCACCATGTTTACTAGGTCCCCAGATTTTGCATATCCACTTGAGATATTTATCTTTATATTTTTGAGTTTTTTGAGTTTTGACAGATACCACATTTTTTGCTCCATAAGACTCACTTTTTCCCTCCTAAAAAGTAAGGGGAAATGTGTGTGCGTCTTGTGGAGCGAATGCAGGCTGCGCAGCTATCACAGAAGCCAGAACAGCAAGAGGGATTGCTGCTTTCACTGCGCAGAGATCCCTCTTGCTGTTCTGGCTTCTGAGATTCAGAATATTTTTTCTTCTTGTTTTCCTCCTCCAAAAACTAGGTGCGTCTTATGGTCTGGTGTGTCTTAGAGTGAAAAATACGGTAGTTAGGCAGAAAGCATGTATCACCCATGGTATTTTTCTAGGAAAAGAAGTGCCAGAACTCACCATGAATGCCTGACTTGTTCTCTTATAGTAATGGTGCCCACCTGACTTTTGGCGAGTTCTGGCTCAACCCCCCCCCCCCGTGTATTGCAATTTAAGGCCGGATCTTTAACCAACTAAAAAACAAAAATAACAAATAGGTCTGTTGGGAGTGCACATCCTGGGGTTACTTCTCTTATTGCATCATGGCAAAATTACATTCTTTTAAGGTAGTCCCCCATACATGTTGCCTGTTTGCATTAGAAACTTCAGCATTTAAGTAATGTAACTAATCAATATGTAAGTCGTTGTACATGTAAGCCATATGAACAACACGTAAACGAGCTAAATGAAAAACAGAATTCAAATAGAGAGCTGTCCTGTGTTAGATAGGTCAGATGGACACCTTCTTATTGATCCTGAAGAATCACAGAATTGCAATGTTGGAAGGGACCCTGAGGATAATCTGGTCCCAACTCCCTGCATTGCAGGAATAAGAAGCTGTCCCATATGGGGATCAAACCTGTAACCTTTGTGGCATCAGCAGCATACTCTGACAAACTGAACTATCCAGGCAGAGCCACTCATGTGTTCCTATGAATTCCCAGGTTGCCACCAGAAGCCCTTTGAAATGTCCAAGCCCAAGACTCAGTTGCAACAACTTGCTGAACAATACATAGACCTCTACCACACGTACTCTGGGAATTCTGACAGCCTGGACAAGCAGGCATTTAAGAAGATGCTGGATGAGCAGTTTCCTGACATTGATGAGGTGAGGGGGAGATAAGAAGAGGCAGGGGCAAATTCTGGCCACTCAAGGGCCTGGGACACCCATTGGCACCAATGTGCAAGATTCCTTTGGGAAGAGGGGAAGGGGCTGAAATCTCACCAGGTCTCTGCTTTGAAGGATGCTCAGCTACTCTGAAAACAAAGCATATCCAGGGATGGGCAGCTATGTCTGTTTCAGTCTCTCCAGTCATAAATTCCATTCTCCCCATTTGCACTGCATTTTTTAAAAACATGTTTATTGTAATTCTTTCCTATCAAAGCTATTTTTGTATGCATTTTTGCCCAATATACACAATTTTGCAAACCACCTTTCCCTAAAACGCTGCATTTTTGTATGTTATTATTGTGTAGCTATATGGGGTTTGTGTGTAGGACACTTTACTGTAGCATATGAATTTTTATACGTATTACTTGGCTGGGGAGATGCAACAATCACATCTGAAGTCTTTTTTTCTCCATTTCCCCACCCCCAACACTGCAGTCTCCCTTGAAGCAACAAAAGAGAGACCAGCTCTTCCAGGAGGCAGACATAAATAAGGACGGCAAACTGAGTTTTGCTGAAGTGGGACGCCTGGTTGCAATATTCGTTGCTGAAACTCATGAGAAACTCCGCAAGTAAGAAGGGCGTCCCCTTGGCCACTGGAAAAAATAGTTCCAGCAAATTGTTCAGGAGACGTCAGAGGAGTGTTTGATACTAACCTCCCAAATATTCACAAACCCCTATCCCCATTCACTATCTTGGAATGTAATGCTTTGGCAACAGAATAAGAAATAAACATTTAACCTGGAAATTATTTGGTGTCTTATTTCAATCTCAGTCTGACAAACTGCAGTCTTACTGGCTTTTCTATATTCAATCTCTTTCCTGGGAGACTATGGAAGATTAGCTTTTTCACACACCTCCTTCCATCTTAGAAGTTCATTCCCATCTAGGTCAAGTATTTGAATTTCCCAGGCATAGCCAAAATTCCAATGTCTGAAACAGTGTTCGGGAGGAAACTACTGAAATGTCGGAGTGTATGGCAACCCATGTCAATTTGGGCAAATTTAATTTAAAATAGCTCAAAAACTTCCTTTTGTTTTTGAGATCTTGCAAAACTAAATAAAGCTGAACAAATCCCACCCCCCCAAAAAACCCGACAAACTTTTTTTGGTATATGGCAACCCTACTCTACCTAGAAGCAACCTTTGGTGTGATTGTTGGAGTGTTGGAACCAAGAGCAGCGGTGCAGCATTTGGGGGTGGGGAGCGCAGGGCCAGTCGCCCCAGGAGCAAAATTGTTAGGGGGCATAAACAGTGGCATAGTGTGGGTTGTCAGCACCCGGGGCAAGGCAAGTAATTTGCGCCCCCTAACCCGTGGATTTGCGCCCCCTAACCCGTGGATTTGCGCCCCCTAACCTGTGGATTTGCCCTAACCCCAGATGTTGCGCCCGGTGCGGCCGGCCCCCCCTGCACCCCCCACGCTATGCCACTGGGCATAAAATTTCAACACCCAGTGTTGCCTCAGTACGGCTGTGCGCTTCCATTCCTGGGCTCCATTGAAAACGGCTTCTCCATGGAAACCAGGAAGAGAGCTTTCCACACAATAGAACGACTCTTCTTTCCTTATCTCTATGGCTGCAATCTCTTGGTTAATGCGGACGCTGTTAGGCAGCAGAATGCATATGTGTTTTCCATCCGTCTCCCTCCCTCCCACTCTACACAGCCCTGTGTGCTGGCAACCCACGTTATGCCACTGCCTGAGAGTCCAGGGTTCAAATCTCCACTCATCTATGAATCTTTGTGGGTGTGACCTTGGGGCACTCACTGTCTCTCACAACAACCCTTACGCATTAGGTTAGGCTGGGAGTGAGAGACTGGCCCCAGCTCACCCAGTGAAGTTCATGGCTGAGTGGGGACTTGAACCCTGGTCCTCCAGAGCCTAGTCTAACCCTCTAATCACTACTCCACACTGGCTCTGTCAGCTCAACTCACACGGGTTCAAATCTCCACTGCCTCCTGAGCTGACAGCTGCAAAGAGGGAATCAGCAAGAGCCGGGGGCCACCCTGGCCAAATCTTAATAACTTCCATTCTGAAATATGGCAGGCTGATGCACAGGTGTAAATGTGGCTGGAGGGTTTTCCCTTTCTCCTCTCTTCCTGGACTTCGCCTCCTCTACCGTAGGAGCAGGAGGAGGAAGAGAAGGGAGTGGGTGGACAGGGGTACCCTTGTTTTTTGGAGAAGGAGGAGTGTGTGTGCATGCGTGTGCTAAAAATGGTGGCAGGAGGGGCTGTACTAATGGCTGTACCTTGGGCTTTTTTTTGAGATGGAACTCAATGGAAGAAGAAGAGAAGAAGAGTTTGGATTCGATATCCTGCTTTACCACTACCCTAAAAAGTAAAGGGACCCCTGAACATTAGGTCCAGTTGTGACCGACTCTGGGGTTGCGGCTCTCATCTTACTTTACTGGCCGAGGGAGCCGGCGTACAGCTTCTGGGTCATGTGGCCAGCATGACTAAGCCGCTTCTGGCGAACCAGAGCAGCGCACGGAAACGCCGTTTATCTTCCCGCCGGAGAGGTACCTATTTACTTGCACTTTGACGTGCTTTCGAACTGCTAGGTTGGCAGGAGCTAGGACCGAGCAATGGGAGCTCACCCCGTCGCAGGGATTCGAACCACCGACCTTCTGATCGGCAAGTCCTAGGTTCTGTGGTTTAACCCACAGTGCCACCCGTGTCCCTTTATCACTACCCCAAGGAGTCTCAAAGTGGCCAAGATTCTCCTTTCCCTTCCTCCCCCACAACAAACACTCTGTGAGGTGAGTGGGGCTGAGAGACTTCAAAGAAGTGTGACTGGCCCAAGGTCACCCAGCAGCTGCATGTGGAGGAGCGGAGACGCGAACCTGGTTCACCAGATTACGAGTCTACCGCTCTTAACCACTACACCACACTGGCTCTCAGTTCTGGCACCCGTCTGGTGCTTGCCATTGCCAATATAAGAGAACAAGGCAGGTGTCTGTGGTGAGTTCTGGCACCTCTTTTTCTAACCACTTCGGGATTCGAGACATTCAGGACAAGGTCTCAAAGCCATGGTGTCTTAACATTTTCTTGTGACTCTCCCGTCAAAATCGGGTCACTTATAGTGTGTGCCTGAAGAGGTGTGTGAAGAAGGAATGAGGAACTTAAATTGATAGATCCACCAATCGCTACTTGTAGCTAATGGGAATCAGTGGCGTAGCGTGGGGGGTGCAGGGGGGGCCGGCCGCACCGGGTGCAACATCTGGGGTTAGGGCAAATCCACAGGTTAGGGGGCGCAAATCCACGGGTTAGGGGGCGCAAATTACTTGCCTTGCCCTGGGGGCTGACAACCCACGCTATGCCACTGATGGGAATCCTACTCAGAGTAAACCCATTGTAATAGACGTGGCTAACTCTAGGTCACTGTGTTTTAGCAGGGGCTGCTCTGGGTATAAGTTGGCTTCATAGGACCCATGGAAATTATTTGAACCATTGCAGCAGAAAATGCACCCAGCACGCATATTGCACAAGAATGCATGCTGATTTGAGAAACTTCAGGCCCCACCTAGATCCACAAAACAGTTCAACCACAATATGATCCATGCATTCTAAGAAAGCAATGTTGCACAGTTGGTGTGAACTTGATGCTACTAAATGATGGACGGTGATTCGACACAAGTTGCAGGGAGGGAACCCCAGCCCCCAGAGGAAGATCTTAATCAGATATCTTGAACACAGGGTGGTCAGGGTTAATGGGTGCAACTGGGGAGTGACAGTTGAGAAGGAGCAAAGATTTCATAAGTGGGGGGTCGGAGCAGAAATCTAGATGGGGTATAAGAGGTGGGAGTGATTTAGAGCTCTTCATCCAACTTTGGCGCATTCGAACTCTCTTGTTCACCACCACCAAGGTAAGCTGAAGATTATGGGAAGCTTTCTTGGGTTGTTGTTGGGTAATACATTGGACATAGGGTGCTAAATCTTCTTGAGATTATCAGCTAGGGCAGGGACGAAAACTTGTAGTTTTTCCAGATGCTTGGGATTCCAATTGCCACCAGCCCCAGCCAGCATGGTCAATTGACAAGGATGACAAAGTCCAGCAACCTTTGGAGGATTGTAAGTTCCCCATCTTTGCAGCTGCTCCAGCCCAATTCAAGGTGCTCACATTGGTGTTTGAAACCCTGAATGTCTCACTCCCTAACTATCTCGAGGGCTGCCTCTTTCCATACAGACCACCTGTTCTGAAAGTTTCCCCAACCCTCTGGAGCAGATTTTTTTTTTTGGGGGGGGGTGGAGAGCCCAGGGAAACAAGAAAGGTAAAGTTATTTTATGCAAGTGGATATTCTTCTGCTAACAGAATAACTTGGAGGTGTCCAGACCAAGATATTTAAGAGTATCCCTGGCATCATCTATGGATTTACATTTAACAACCATTTCCTTGCACTCTGTTGCACCAATGCATTATGAAAACTCTCCATTTCTGAAGAAAACAGTTCCAAGGCTGTCCACTCTCTCTGCCCCTGGCTGTATTAGTCAATTTCACCATGTTTACTAGGTCTCCAGATTTTGCATATCCACTTGAGATATTTATTTTTATATTTTTGAGTTTTTCGAGTTTTGACAGATAGTTAGACAGAAAGCATGTACCACCCTTGCAATTTTTCAAGGAAAAGAAGTGCCGGAACTCACCATGAATACTTCACTTGTTCTCTTATAATGACAATGGTGCCCACCTGACTTTTGGTGAGTTCCGGCTCAAACCCCCCCCCCCTGTGTATTGCAATTTACGGCCAGATCTTTAACCAACTAAAAAACAAAAATAACACACAGGTCTGTTGGGAGTGCACATTCTGGGATTATTTCCAGTGCTTTTCTGGGGGTTCACAGGGGTCCACATACCCCTAAACATTTTTGAATCTAGTTTTGGCCTCATTGAGGAGCAGTATTTGAATATGAGTAGGGAAATGAGAATACCCCTAAACAATTTTTTTTAAAGAAAAAAAAGCACTGGTTATTTCCATTTCCCTTATTGCATCATGGCAAAAATACATTCTTTTAAGGTGGTTCGCAATACATGTTGCATGCTTGCAGTAGAAACCTGGGTAAGTAGATAATGCAATTGATCAATATGTAAGTAGTTGTACATGTAAGCCATCTGAACAACATTTAAGCTAAATAAAAAATAGAATTCAAATGGAGAGCTGTCCTGTGTTAGGTAGGTCACATGGACACCTTATTCTTGATCCTGAAGAATCAGAGTTGGAAGGGACCCTGAGGATCATCTGGTCCCAAGATGGGGATCAAACCTGCAACCTTGGTGTTATCAGCAACACGCTCTAACCAACAGAACTACTCAGGCAGAGCCGCTCGTGTGTTCCTATGAATTCCCAGGTTGCCACCAGAAGCCCTTCGGAATGTCCAAGCCCAAGACTCAGTTGCAACAACTTATTGAACAATACATAGACCTCTACCACAGGTACTCTGGGAATTCTGACAGCCTTGACAAGCAGGCATTTAAGAAGATGCTGGACGAGCAGTTTCCTGACACTGATGAGGTGAGGGGGAGATAAGAGGAGGCAGGGGCAAACTCTGGCCACTCAAGGGCCTGGGACACCCATTGGCACCAATGTGCAAGTTTCCTTTGGCCACGTTAAGAGGGGAAGGGGCTGAAATCTCACCAGGTCTCTGCTTTGAAGGATGCTCAGCATATCTAGGGATGGGCAGATGTGTTCCGTCTCTTCAGTCTTAAATTCCGTTCTCCCCATTTGCGCTGCATTTTTTAAAAAAATGTTTATTGTAATTCTTTCCTATCAAACACATTTTTGTAAGCAATTTTTCCCAATATACACATTTTTGCAAAGCACCTTTCCCTAATATGCTGCATTTTTGTTTGTTATTATTGCATTTATATTTATATATATATGCACACTTTGCGCAACATATGAAATTTTATACATATTCCTTGGCTGGGGAGATGCAACAATCACATCTGAAGTCTTCTTTCCTCCATTTCCCCACCCCTAACACTGCAGTCTCCCTTGAAGAAACAAAAGAGAGACCAGCTCTTCCAGGAGGCAGACATAAACAAGGACGGCAAACTGAGTTTTGCTGAAGTGGGACGCCTGGTTGCAAAATTCGTTGCTGAAACTCATGAAAACTCCGCAAGTAAGAAGGGCGTCCCCTTGGCCACTGGAAAAAATAGTTCCAGCAAATCGTTCAGGAGACGTCAGGGGAGTGTTGCATACTAAGCTTCCAAATATTCACAAACCCCTATCCCCATTCACTATCTTGGAATGTAATGCTTTGGCAACAGAATAAGAAATAAACATTTAACTTGGAAATCATTTGGTGTCTTATTTCAATTTCAGTCTGACAAACTGCTGTTTTACTGGCTTTTCTATATTCAATCTCTTTCCTGGGAGACTATGGAAGATTAGCTTCTTCACACACCTCCTTCCATCTTAGAAGTTCATTCCCATCTAGGCCGAGTATTTGAATTTCCCTGGCATAGCCGGAATTCGGACGTCAGAAACGGTGTCCAGGAGGAAACCACTGAAATGTCAGAGTGTATGGCAACCCATGTCAATTTGGGCGAATTTAATTTAAAATAGCTCAAAAACTTCCTTTCGTTTTTGAGATCTTGCAAAACTAATAGCTTAACAAATCCCCTCCCCCCAACCCCCCCCCACAAACTTTTTTGGAATATGGCAACCCTACTATACCTAGAAGCAACCCTTGGTGTGATTGTTGGAGTGTTGGAACAGAGCAGTGGTGCAGCATTTGGGGGTGGGGAGCACAGGGCCAGTCGTCCCAGGGGCAAAATTGTTAGGGGGCATAACATTTCAACACCCAGTGCTGCCTCAATACAGCTTTGCGCTTCCATTCCTGGGCTCCACTGAAAACGATACAAACCAAGAAGGGACCTTTCCAGACAATGGAACGACTCTTCTTGACTCTTCTTATCTCTACGGCTGCAATCTCTTGGTTGATGCGGACACTGTTAGGCATCTGAATGCGTATGCGTATTCCATCTCCCTCCCTCCCTCCCTCCCTCCCACTCTACACAGCCCTGTGTGCTGGCAACTCATGTTATGCCACTGCCTGAGAGTCCAGGGTTCAAATCTCCACTCATCTATGAATCTTTGTGGGTGTGATTTGGGGCACTCACTGTCTCACTGGGCGAAGTATAAATAAATTATTATTATTATTATTATTATTATTATTATTATTATTATTATTATTATCATCATCAAATTTTGTCTGCCATTCTTCCTTTGTTGGTAACTGCTCCCTCCCTCCATTTCTGAGCAGCTGGAACCAGATCCAAGAACTGGCAGAACCAACAAATTCTAGTTTTGTCTCCATCCTCGTTCTCCTTACTGACATATCCAAGGGCAACACTGACACCTAGAAGAGAGGCAGTTGACAGGCAGGACAAACCCCAGGGCTGGCTGATAGTAAGAACACAAGTAGACTCCTGCTGAGAGCAGACTGGGACCTGGCAGACCAGGTCTCTGCATGTGACCTTCAATATCTTGAGTCCCCCTTCCTATCAGCGCACAGAAAACACATTGATTCTTCAGGCACACAGCAAATACATTTCCTTTGCTCATAATAACCGAGTTAGACATAACAATATGGTTAAAATCAACGCCACACACAGGAAGAAGAAAGGAGAACTTGCAGATCACAAATTATTATTTTATTCCCATTTTAATAAATGTAATGGTGCCTAGAGGTAAGGAACCAGCCGAAATGGGTGTAGAATTGGGGGTATTTGCCACAGTTCTAGGCAGTGCTTTTTTCCTGGGGGTACGCATACCTCTAACCATTTTGTGAATCTAAGTTTGGCCTCATTGAGGGGCAGTATTTCAATATGGGTAGGAAAACGAGAGTACCCCTAAACTTTTTTTTAGGAAAAAAGCAGTAGTTCTAGACCTCACAGAAAGCAGACCTATAAGGAGTGCCTCACAGTGCCAACTTGAAATTAAAAAAATGTTGGGCCCAGGTAAGCCCCGTCCTGCAGAATCGATCACATGTCACAGCGCATGCAGACCATTTGAATGGAAATGCCCATCGACTTGGGGTGCATGCTGGCCCCTTCCCATATTTTATTGGGGAGGCAAAGGGACCTCAGCCCCTAGGAGTTGGCTCCTTCTTCCCAGGGCAGAATTTAGGTTTGATGAAGCCCTAGGCTACTGAAGGTAATGGGGCCCTTTATATGCCCAGCTGCCCTTTGCCAACAACAAATTGTCACTCTTTTTTGTGTTGAATATATGCTATATGGTAATTTATGGACCCAATAGGTATCTGAAGCCATTTGCACATGTTGTCCATGCAGAATGTAGGCACCCTATATATAGAAATGAGCAAACCAGTGATATTTTAGGGAGCAGGCTAACAGGCGGGGTCCATCACTTACGTTATGGGTGTCATGGTCCGGTTCACGGGTGATCGAAATCCCGGCTGTGGATGTCAGGACCAGGGGCAAGATGGCAAGGTGGGAGCAGGAATGGGAGTCCAGAAGCCAGGAGTCAGGAAGCCAAGAGTCCAAGGGTCAGAGAGTCGGGAGTCAAGAAGCCAGAGGTCTGAGGGTCAAGAAGCAAGGAGTCACAAAGTCAAGGGTCCAAGGGTCAAGGAGCCAAATGCAGCAGGGCAGGGAATGCTGACCTTATATCCCTTCCTGGCTCTTGCTACCAGGTGCTGTGAGTTACCAATCGGACTCACCTGTGCGGCTGCACCTTGCCTCTTCAGAACAAACTTAGGAAGGCCCCTGTCCTGCTAAGTCCTACTGGTCCCAGGGCCTGGCTCCTGCACGCACACCTGACAATAGGAGCCTACACAACACAAAACACGGTTGCTGTATGCTGTTTTTATTTTATTTGTTTTTTTATGCTATATTTTGGAAATGTACATCCACTCCCCCCCTTTAATTTTTTGGGGCCCCTAAGAGAGTGGGCCACCAAAACTGTAGCTTGTTTAGCTTATACGTAAATCTGGCACTGCTCCTATGCCTCACAGGGCCCGTAGATGTGGTGCTGGTAAATTCCATGCCATGTCTGGCCAGGACTTGCAGGCAGGAATGTCTACCCAACCCTGAGTCGTGCTGGTGCATGAATCTCTCAAGTGAAAACAACACCCCAAAATGCATCGTTGATGAGCTAAGCTGTGTGCAGAGGAGGGTGACAAAGATTACAAAGAGCCTGGAAACCAAGTTTTATGAGGAACAGTTGAGGGAGTTTGGTATGTTTTAGCCTGGAGAAGAGAAGACTGAGAGGGGATGTGATAGCCATCTTCAAATATTTCAAGGCCTATCTCATGGAAGATGGAGCAAGCAGAGGTTGGATGGTCACCCGTCAGGGATACTTCAGTTGTGATTCCTGCATTGCATGGTGTTGACCTCTGTGACCCTTGACATCCCTTCCAGCCCTACAATTCCTATTGGGAAAGATGCTTGGCCATAATATGTGCGTTGGGTCAAACTGCAATGGGTGTATTAGGAGAAAGCATTTTCTCATTAAAGGAGAGCACGTGTTGCGGATGGGGCCAAGCAAAGCACCCCATAGTTGCCAGGCAGGATAGATTGAAGGGGCCTGGCATGGATTGGTGGTTGGTGTTGCTGGGGTAAATTTGATGTTGCCAATTTGGGGGTGGGAACAGAGGTTATTTAAGCACGGTTCACAGCAAGCTGCTTTCTCTTTCGCTGTGGGCACTGGATCACCCGCCCGCCCTCCGTTGTTTGGGCTTGTGCTTTGACCTTGCTATGCCTGTCATGGGGTCATCTGCCTTGGTGCGGGGGCCTGGTAGGAATTTTTCCATTTGGCTGATCAGTGGCGTAGCGTGGGTTGTCAGCACCCGGGGCAAGGCAAGTAATTTGCGCCCCCTAACCCGTGGATTTGCGCCCCCTAACCCTTGGATTTGCGCCTCCTAACCCTAACCCCCAGATGTTGTGCCCGGTGCGGCCGGCCCCCCCTGCACCCCCCACGCTACGCCACTGTGGCTGATTAGTGTGTGCCATTTGGTTTTTGCCTACTGCATAGCAAATCGTCACAACTTGTAAGGTTGGCGGTTAGGCATTGGTTTAAATTGGTTGGTGGAGGGGTATGGATTGGCTGTGCCTGCCCCTCCAATGCTGCTGCTGCACGGGAATTCTGTTAAAGGAATTCAGGGGCTTACCATCCTTTCATCTAAACCCCTGGAATCGGGTTTGGGCCGCGTAAGCCCCTGGGAGCATGCGGGGAGAAGCTGAGGGTCTGTGCCGCAGCTCCAGGTATCCCTGATCTTGTTCCTCCACACTGGCTTTCGCTGGAATCCAGGAATCAGTGCTGTCCCCCAAGGCGGGGGGGGGGGGGACAGATAGTCTTAAGCAACCACTTGCCTAAGCAACCACTCACAATTTGTATGTTTAATAAAGTTGTGGCCAAAATTATGCCAAAAACCTTAAACAAAAATTTATGAGTGATGTGTGAGTTATTGGGGTAGGGGTGTTTTGGGGGAACCTCAGCACGCAAATGGAGATGGGTTTTCATGGGGACTTCAGCAAACAAATAAATCACCCACTGATGTGGAAAATACGGTATACAGAACGGAAGACTGGAGAAATGAGGAACTGGAATTGGTAGATAAGCCCATCCCTCGTTGCAGCCAATAGTTGTTCTTGCCTCAGAGAAAGCCTATTGGCATGAATAGACATGAATGACTCAGGTCTAGTCACTCCAGTAGGTTTCCACAGAGTGTGAGTTGGTTGCACATAACCCACTGATCTCATTTCATCACAGCTGCAAAATTTTTTACCCAGCATGAAAGGTTGCACAACGGTTAGTGTTGCTTCCAAGAAGTCCCAGGGCCACCCATGCTCTCAGCTGCAAACCGTTTTAATTCATTTATTTTCATTACATTCTAGGAAGCATAGAAAGAAAAAAATATTGCGGTTGTCGAAAGTATGTTATACACTTGAAAGAAACGAACTGACATAATGTAAAATCGGCAGCTGATAAAAAGCTGGAGAAAAGCAAACACACACACACACACACACAGAGACACACACACCTACACCTACCACTGCAGTGCATCGCATAGCCAAAACATATCCACCAGGCAAGTAAGCATGTTATTCATCCCCTCAGTATGGATGAGTTAAAAACAAATTACAAAATTTATACATAAAAATTCAAATGTATTTTACTGTTTTAGATATATATCACGTGAAAAGGAAAGATATGTCCACATCAAACAAAACTTATTGTATAGCGGTAACAGGGGTTCATAGAATCATAGAGTTGGAAGCATCTATCCCAGTGGTTCTCAACCTGTGGGTCCCCAGATGTGGGTCCCCATCGTCCCTGACCACTGGTCATGCTGGCTAGGCATGATGGGAGTTGTAGTCCAACAACATCTGGAGACCCATTCTAGCCCAACCTCCTGGAATGCAGGAATACAATGCAGCTGTCCCATACGGGGATTGAACCTGCAACCTTGGTGTTACCATCACTACGCTCTAACCAACTGAGCTACGCTGATATTGTTCTTCAATATTTGTAAATGTTATAAACTCAGACCACACCACAGTAAACATATCTTTCTCAATCTGACCCTGTACCATAGAAGCAGGGCTGTCTTTAGCATGTGTGCCACCGTGGTGCAAAGATCCGCCCAGCGCCCCCAAATTGACTATTATTGAGCTTTTTTTTGGGAGGGGGGAAGCCAAAGTTGTTGACGTTACGTAGTAACAGAGTGATGGGGCGGGGTTTACCTGGGGCTCACCCCAATATTTTATTTTGTTCAGTATTTTTATTCAGCCTTGCTGTGTATAACCCTCAGCTTGTTTGTTAATTTTCCTAAAAGCACATCGCACAGTCCCATACCGCTTGGTACCAATTTGACAGTGTAGCGCCTGAGAAATATTTTCAGTGCCTAACTATGGGCTTATCCACACCTACCTTTTGCCCAGATCTGCACTTAGAAGCTCCACATCAGAGCGTTCTGTTTTTGCCCCTCAGCTTCTGCCGAAAAGCTGCTCTTTAGAGTTCCATCGGAGCAAACTTCAATTTGGGTTTTCCATTTACTCCGATTGAGCTTTAAAGAGTGTGTTTTTGTGGGGAAATCCCTGGTAGCAAAAAATAAAGGGTGCTTGGACAGGGAGCTTCTAAGTGTGGACCATGTCCAGGAAGAGTAGAGGAAAACTAAGTGTGGGTAACAACAACAACAACAACAACAACAATTTATTTGCACCCCGCCCATCGGGCTGGGTTTCCCCAGCCACTCTGGGCAGCTTCCAACAAAAATTAAAAATACATTAAGTCCTATAGAAAAACGCAGTGAAACCAACTGTGGTTCAATCTGTCGCTTTGTTGTTTTATTCATTTCGGTGAAAACGGATAACCCAAATGCTTTCACCTTTAGGCAATCCCACCATGCATGGAAATACCGTAAGTAACAGGAGTGGCATCCTTGCTAACAGTTTGGTGAGGATCCTGGGTGAATCACTGCGAACTTTCTAGGGGGCCAAACTCCACAGATTTATTAATTTCAAAACCCATTCCTGGTTCCTCACTGAAACCGTATTGAAAGGAGGCTTCACCCAGAGTTTGCTCCATTGATCTGACTCATTTCTTGTTCCCCTTTGATATTTTTAAAAGAATCTTAAGAACCTACAAAGGACCTTCACAAGATTCCACCCTCCTCCACTTCATTATCAGATATTGTTATTTCTTTTTCCAGAAAGGAAGAGTCGTCTACTGGCTACTTTTTGTGCGGAAAAAACCAGCTGGATTTGTCGGAGTTTTACAAAGCTTTCAAAAGGATTGCCTCACAGGCTGTGCAAACAAGGTGCTGGAAAATGACAGAGCCTGACCGGCCGTAGCAGGGGGGAAAACCCCTACAGCGGTGTGCAGCTGAAGGAAGAACACAGATATCTTAAGCAAGAGGTGAGTGGTGCAAGAGGGAGATGGCTTGAGAAGGATCAAAGGTTTTGCAACTAGGGTGGGTGGGAACAGGGATCTGGACAGGGACTATAAGAAGAGGGGCTGTCATTGGGCTCACCACCACACCTTGGCTCATCCTAGCTCTCTCGTTGATCACCGACCGAGGTAAGCTGGAGAAGAACAGGAGGCCTTCTTGTGCTGCTTTCAGGTTTTAGCTTTTGCATTGGACGTGGGGTGCTAAATCTTTTTGAGGGTAGCAGCTTGGGCAGGGATGCAAAACACGTGTCTGTCTGTCTTTCTGTCTGTCTGTCTGTCTGTCTGTCTCTCTCTCTCTCTCTCTCTCTCTCTCTCTCTCTCTGTGGATACCAGCTGCTGTTGGACACCAACTCCCAGGCCTCCCCATCTCTAGATAGTCCTCCATGCAGAGAGCATGTTAGAGAGGAGTATTTCTCCTAGACGGACGTGGTGATGTTGATGGGCTCTATCTTCCATCATTCTTGACCATTGGCTATGCTGGCTGGCACTGATGAGAGGTGAGCCCATCTGGAGGGCACCATACTAGCTACCCTGGCTCTAAGGCAGGTTTCCCCAAACTATTTCTCGTCAGCTGTTTGGCACTGCAACTCCCATCAGACCTAACACTGTGGCCAATGGCCAGGGATGATGGGAGCTGAAGTCCAAACAACGGGAGGACACCTGGTTGGGTTAGGCTGTCTTAGAGCAGAGGCAATCATTTTGGTGCTCTCCAGATGTTGCTGAACTCTGACACTCATCAACCTTGAGCATGAACCATTGACCACTGGAATTGGGAGTCTTAACAGCATCTTGAGGTTCATCAAATTGACTCTGCTTGCTCTGTGGTAGCCTTTCTCTAACTTGGCGCCATCTAACTGTTTTGGACTACAACTCCCATCTGCCCTGACATCACGACCCTTGGCCAGAGCTGATGGGAGGGAGCTGGATTCCAAAACATCTGGAGGGCAGAAAGGCTGTCCTAAAAGGATTCAGATGGACACCTAGCAGCTGGCTAGCATTCTCTGCATTCTCTTGTCTTGAGCAGATTCTTGGCAAGTGTAGGAGATAGTAGAAGCTAATGCTGGTGGCAGCAAAGGGGGAAGAGAGGAGTGTGAGATGCTTTGCCTCATGACCCCAAATATCTTAGCTCAGGTGTGGGCCATCTGCTGCTCTCCAAAGGTTGCTGAACTAGAAATCCCATTATCCCTGCTCATCAACCATGCTTGCTTTTGGACTCCAAAAACATCTGGAGGGAGAAGGATTCCCTACACCTGATTAGCTGATATTGGAAACTTGACACTTTCAATTTGAGAGAGGGTGTGTGTGTGTGTGTCAGGCAACAAAATGGCTGGACTTAGCTTTGGTGTGAATTCAGAAATAAGGGTGCGTCCACCAGGGGTGGCAAAACCAGGGTGTTCTCCAGATGTTGAGAGAGACAGCCCAACACCCATGTTTATATTTCCATTTCACTTACTATGACACCCCAAAATTTCATTATTTTAAGACAAGCCCAAAATTGCATGTTCTCCAGATGTTGAGAGAGACAGCCCAACACCCATGTTTATATTTCCATTTCACTTACTATGACACCCCAAAATTTCATTATTTTAAGACAAGCCCAAAATTGCATGTCTGCATTAGAGAATTAAGCAGCTTTTAAGTAACTTAAATGAACAAGTTAAGTAATAAGATTCAAATTATGTAGGACTCTATTCCTGACCCAGCAGGGCTCCTCTTGTGTTTTTAAGAGTGAAGGAGGTCTCTCATCTTCATGGCCTGACTGTGGGCTTCCTGGTGGAATCTGATAGGGCTCTTCTTACGTCCATATGTCTATCTAGGTTGCCAACCGAAAACCTTCAAAATGTCCAAGTCCAAGACTCAGATGCAAGTCCTGGCTGATCAGCTGATCGACGTCTTCCACAAGTATGCTGGGCAATCTGACACCCTCGACAAGCAGGAGTTCAAGAAGATGATCCTCGAGCAGTTTCCCGACTGCGTTGAGGTGAGGTGGAGAAAAGAAGGGCATGGGCAACTGCCGGGCACTTAAAGCCCAAGCTGGCACATTGGCATTAAGGTGCAGGGTATGTTAAGATGGCGAGGGACTAGCGTCTCCCCAAGACAGTGTTTTGAAGCATGTTCAGATGAAAGGAAAGTTTACTTAGGGATGAGTGGATATGTCCATTTCAGTCCCTCTCATGTCCTCCTTTCCCAGTCTGAAATTCACTTCTCCATCCAGCTTTTAAAAAGTATTCTACCAATAAACACAATTTAAAATGCATTTTTGCAGAATACACACCTTTTTTTTTTTTGCAAAGCAATCTTCCCTGTTAGAATGCATTTTTTTTCACGTTACTGTAGTTTAATGCATATACTTTTATATACTTGTACCTATTACTTGGGACGCGGGTGGCGCTGTGGGTAAAAGCCTCAGCGCCTAGGGCTTGCCGATCGAAAGGTCGGCGGTTCGAATCCCCGCGGCGGGGTGCGCTCCCGTCGCTCGGTCCCAGCGCCTGCCAACCTAGCAGTTCGAAAGCACCTTCGGGTGCAAGTAGATAAATAGGGACCGCATACCAGCGGGAAGGTAAACGGCGTTTCCGTGTGCGGCTCTGGCTCGCCAGATGCAGCTTGTCACGCTGGCCATGTGACCCGGAAGTGTCTGCGGACAGCGCTGGCCCCCGGCCTCTTGAGTGAGATGGGCGCACAACCCTAGAGTCTGTCAAGACTGGCCCATACGGGCAGGGGTACCTTTACCTTTACCTTACCTATTACTTGGCTGGAGAAACGCATTGCCAAATCCTGAGAACTGAGGATTTCAAGTGATGCCTGGGTTCTGAGTTGCGGACTGCTTGGGAAAGTGGTGGTTTGGTAGATTTGCCTTAAAATGTGAATTGGATCAAATTTCTCCCCCTTCCCTAAGTGTGTGTGTGTGTGTGTACGCACACACTTGTACACACATGTACAAGTGTGTGTACTCTGCTCAGTCATCTTGCCAAACCCTCACAGCTCCTTCCACCCCCAACAGGGAAGGTGCAAAAGATAGGGGAGTTCAGGCTTACTAAACCTACAAGGTAAGCCCCTCCCCACTCCATTAAGCAGCTCACCTGGGCTGGCCTGCCATTCCTCACCCTGCAGTTCGTGTGGCCCCCTATCAGAGGCTGCTCCAAATGGGGAGCATGTCGACATTCTACATTTTGCTTTATATAGGAAGATAGATATGGGGAAGTTGCAGGAGGTAGCGGGGTTCAAGACCTCTCAACCACCTCAAAACAATGCCTCTGAGAAGAGTCTGGTTTCCGGATCATGCCGAACGCCTGTCTAGTCTAGAATCCTTTTCTCAAATACGCCAATGGGAAGCTAGCCTGAAAGCAGGATGTGAGTCTGGTTCTGAGTTAAACGCCCACCGATGTTACTCTGTGTTAATTTCATTCTGCTAATCTGAACTACAACTTCCATCCATCCATCTCAGTAAGGTTGGTTAATGGCCAGGGAGGATGGGATGTAGTTTGTTTTCTCCTGCCCTAGAGAGTAGGACGTGAACCAATGGCTTCAAGTCATAAGAAAGGAGATTCCGACTAAACAAGGAATAACTTTTTGAGAGTGAGAGCTGTTTGACAGTGGAACGGTTGCCCTTAGGAGGTTGTGAACTCTCCTTCCTTGGAGGTTTTGAAGCAGATGTTGGAGGGCCACCTGGATGCTTTAGCTGAGATTTCTGCATTGCAGGAGAGGGGAGGGGGTTGGACTAGATGATCCTTAGGGTCCCTTCCAACTCTACAATTCTATGATTCTAGTCTAATAGTGCCAGGAGGGCCACAGTTTTGTTTTCTGATGGTCTGATAGCAATAAACTTCTACTCTCAATCCCTACAGTGTCCACGTAAGAAACAAGCGAAGGAGCAACTCTTTAATGAGCTGGACACAAACAAGGACAACGTAGTGAATTTTGAGGAATGGACCCGCCTGGTTGGAAGATTCCTCCATTGCTCCCATGAAAAGTTCCACCAACAACATGGCGGACAGCAGCAGCAGCAGCAGCAGCCACAACAACAGTGAGAAGGAAACCCAGCAAATCCTTCGGGAGATGGTGCTCAGGGGCATGTGGGGTGACAACCTTCTTGACACCCACCCCCTCCTTCCTATATTCTCTAGCTAGGAATGGAAACTTTTGACAATAAAATAAGAAATAAATATTTCACTTCGAAATCCTCAGACGTGTCATTTCTTCCCAACTTCGGCAAGCTGTTGTCAAATGGGCTTTCCTGCACGGTGTTCAAGCTTTTCTGTGGGAGAGGACAAGAGAGTTGCATTTTCACCTACCTTATAAGTTCATTCATAGAATCATAGAGTTTGCTGGGGAAGGGATTCTATGACTCATAGAATCATAGAGTTTGCTGGGGAAGGGTCCCTATACCAAGAAGCATCCCCTGCTGCAGTGGTTGCATCTTAGGACCTGGGAGACCAGAATTCAGATGTCCACCTAGCCATATATCTTTCTGGGTGGACTGTTTCACTGTCTCTCAGCCGAACCCAGCATGCATGGGTGGTTGTCAGGATGGTAGATAAAAGGTAAAGTTACCCCTGCCCGTACGGGCCAGTCTTGACAGACTCTGGGGTTGTGCGCCCATCTCACTCTAGAGGCCGGGGGCCAGCGCTGTCCAGAGACACTTCCGGGTCACGTGGCCAGCGTGACAAGCTGCATCTGGCGAGCCAGAGCCGCACACGGAAACGCCGTTTACCTTCCCGCTAGAAAGCGGTCCCTATTTATCTACTTGCACCCGGGAGTGCTTTCGAACTGCTAGGTTGGCAGGAGCTGGGACCGAACAATGGGAGCGCACCCCGCTGCGGGGATTCGAACCGCCGACCTTTCGATCGGCAAGCCCTAGGCGCTGAGGCTTTTACCCAGATGGTAGATAATTTTATTATGGTTGGAGACCAGCTTATTGTCAGGATGTAACTAGGAGGGGAAGAACCATGCATGGTCATCTTGAGCTTAAGAGCCAAAGCCCGATGGGTGGGACCAACGAATTCTAAGACTTCCCCATACTTCTCCTCTCTGCTGAGTTCCGTGGGGCTGGTGCCCATTGCAACCAATGGGGCTAGCAGCAGGTGCAGGCTAAACCAAATAATTCTAGCTTAAATCCCCAAAGTTTAAAGCCCCCAGTCTTCCTGATGCCATCTGGATGTGAACTCACCTTCTCTCAGCCTAACCTGCAGTGTGTGTGTGTGTGTGTGTGTTTCTCAGGATATAACAGGGAGGGGGAGAACCACGTGTGGCCGCTTTGAGCTGCTTGGAAGGAAAAACGGGACACACATGTATTAATAGGGAGACCAACTAAGGGCTCATCCAAACATCTAGGCTCTGTGTCCGAGCATTTCTGTTTGTTTGTTTGCCTTTTGCTCCAGTGAATCCGAGCAAACGACAATACAAGGAAACCTGAAATGCTGTTTGTTCCAATTGAGCGTAAAGAGAGGGTTTTCCTGGCGAAAGCTTCGGGGTGGGGGTGAGAAGCGCCCAGACACAGAGATTTAAAGTGCAGGCCCAGAAAGAGAGTGGTAAAAGATACGTTTGGATGAGCCCTGTCTAGTTTTGTCCCCACCCTCCTCTTCCCTACTGAGTTATTCAAGAGGCAACACTACTGAGGTAGGAAAGTTTGGGGAGGGGGGAATCACACCTGACAACCAATGTGTTTCAGATATCACATGGGTAAAGGTAAAGGGTAAAGGGACCCCTGACCATTAGGTCCAGTCATGACCGTCTCTGGGGGCAGGAGAATGCAAGAGAGCAGCATCTGGGTTTGCAAACATCAGCAGGAGTGGCAGATGATGAGGACAGGAGGCCACAGATTGGAGGGGTTTCTTTGTGCATCCTGTTTCGGGTCAGGCTGGGAAATGGCCGAGTAGTGGGATGAAGATGGAGAGGAAGGCGACAGATACCACAGAGGAGATTGTTTTTTGAAAGCCGTGAAGATTTCCAAAATCCCTGGATATAGGAGTTTTGGATTAACTTCTCATTTTTTCTTCAGCACGCATTTGGGATCTTGGGATCTTGGAAGGGTAATCTTACAGGGCAGGAACATGACTGGGGGTCTGTGGTTGTTATTTTCCCAGAATGCCTCTGGGTCAGGGCCCAGAGGCATTATGGGGTAGTGAAGATGGCGGTAGCAATGGCCATCTTCCCAAGCACTTCTCCTTTTCCCCCAAGCTCTGAATAAAGGAGGGTCTGCTTTGGAGCCTGCTCAGTTTGGCTATGCTATGAAGTCCCTGCTTTGGGGCTTCCAAGCACCAAATCACCTAAGGTCATTTGCAACATCTGCTGATTGGCAGGTGTGGGGGGCCACCCACCTGTCAAATTTGGTCCATGAGGCAGGATTTGATAATTATTATTATTATTATTAAGCAACTAAAGGTAAAGGTAAAGGTACCCCTGCCCGTACGGGCCAGTCGTGTCCGACTCTAGGGTTGTGTGCCCATCTCACTCAAGAGGCCGGGGGCCAGCGCTGTCCGGAGACACTTCTGGGTCACGTGGCCAGCGTGACAAAGCTGCATCTGGCGAGCCAGTGCAGCACACGGAACGCCGTTTACCTTCCCGCCAGTAAGCGGTCCCTATTTATCTACTTGCACCCGGGGGTGCTTTCGAACTGCTAGGTTGGCAGGCGCTGGGACCGCGCAACAGGAGCGCACCCCGCTGCGGGGATTCGAACCGCCGACCTTTCGATCGGCAAGCCCTAGGCGCTGAGGCTTTTACCCACAGCGCCACCCGCGTCCCTTATTAAGCAACTACTCTATTCCAAACTTAAAAATGGAAAGCGTAATGCTGGTGGTCAACAAAAGAGGTTTAAAGACTGTCTCAAGGCAAATCTTTAAAAATGTAGTATAAACACTGTGTTCTCGAAGCCACAAACATGAGTCTGACCAAACTGCGGGAGGCAGTGGAAGACAGAAGTGCCTGGCGTGCTCTGGTCCATGGGGTCACCAAGAGTCAGACACGACTAAATGACTAAACAACAACATAGACACTGACAAGTGGGGTCGGCTTTGGAGACATTCGAATTCAGGATGCAAGGGAGAAACGTGCTAAGAGGAAGCCAGGCTGGGCAAATCCACACCGTGATCAGCTCCCGCCTGGAAACTAATGTCCCCACTGTGGAAGGACATGTGGATCCAGAATTGGCCTCCACAATCACTTACGGACTCATTGTTAAAACTGTGTTTATGGAAGACAATCTTACTTGGCTACGAGTGATCGCCAGATAACGATAACGATAACGTAACGGTAACGATAACAGTTGCGATAACAATAACGGTTACGATACCGATAAGGATAACACAATGGATAACGATAACGATAACAGTAAGAGACGATAACTATAACGGTTTCGATAACGGTAACGGTAACGGTAACGGTAACGGTAACGATCACGATCACAATCACGATCACGATCACGATCACGATCACGATCACGATCACGATAACGATAACGATATCGGTAACGGTAACGGTAACGGTAACGAAACCCAACTGTGACACCAGATGGCGCTGCAGTTTTTTCAGAGCGTATTTTACACCTGTATAAATGCAGCCTTCGAAGGTGGAAAGGCAAGTGGAAAGGCAAGCTCGGGTACTTGTTTTGTTATATACTTTTCGTGACGAGGGACGTGGGTGGCACGTTAGACCACAGAGCCTAGGACTCTTTACCTTTACCTTTTAGTGACCAGCTTGAACGGAAATAGTTAGAGGACAGGAGGGGTCAGAAATTGCTGGTCTCTTAGCTGAGCTGATACTGAGCTGAAGTCTCTCATCTCCCTTTACTGTAGCCTGATGGAATGTGTGTTTTCAGAAGGCACTTGAGAAAAAAGCCCTTTTTACTGCTGTCTCTCCCTTTGCATTTGCTTCCAGTTTGGGCTGATATTTGGGCCAAGGAAAGGGCTTCCAGCTGCAGTCTGCTTAGTCCAGGGGTCTGCAACCTTTAAGACAAAAAGAGCCACTTGGACCCGTTTCCGAAGAAAAAACAACAACTGGGAGCCGCAAAACCATTGCGACATTTAAAACAAATATATCTCCGGAGCCGCGATCTGACAGCGGGCGGGAAGGTGACGTCGGGACGGTGCACGACTAACGCACGCACCGCCCCCATGCGACGTCACAGCCAGTACAGCGCCCGCCACAGTGAGGAGTGTCGGGGCGCACAATGCGCCTCCTCCCCTCGCTAGTATCCGCCCCGGAGCCGCAGGCAAAGGTGTAAAAGAGCCACATGCGGCTCCGGAGCCGCGGTTTGCAGACCCCTGGCTTAGTCTAAAAATTGCCACCTTGTGGAATTTTGACAAACCAACCCGCCCAACTTCTCTTGCCAAACCCAAGAGGACAAAGAAAAACAACCTGGGCAAAAACAAGAGGGACAAAATCAGTTTGGGGAATGGATGACTGCTTGCCTGGAAAACTCATTGCTTTTCTTAAGCAGTCAGGGCTTTCCTCAAAGAACCTAGGGAACCGTAGTTTGCCAAGCAGGCAGAAGGTTGTTGGGAGAACCTGTTCCCGGACTGGTTTAACAGCCAATCCATCTTCCCATGGAACTCTGGGAATTGCACTCTGGGAGGGGTCCTTCTAACAACTCTCAGCACCCTTGACAAACTACAGTTCCCAGGATTCTTTGGGGGGGGGGAAGGTCGTGAGTCCTTAAGGGGGTATGATACTGCTTTTAATGTACAGTGCAAATGGAGACCCATTTAGCATTTGTCTTAAGTGTCTTTCGCTTTTAATTAATGTCACCCTTATTTTGTCTTACTGAACTGTTTTAGTCTTTTGCATAGAGAGGCCAACAAATGTTAATAATGATGGCTGGCATCCGTCATCTCAGGAGACAATGGAGGAGGGTGCCTTTGGGGGTGAGGTCAAGCTGTTGGAAGGGAGAGACATGTTTCGCTGAAGCCGGGGCAGATGAAGGCATCTGGTTGTGCAATTATTGCAGATGAACGATGGCATTGTCACTCTGAGCTTCTCCCAGCCGTCATTTCTCCTCTGGTCACTGCTATCAATAAATGACTTGACTGCCTGTCTCTAGGCACTGCGGTCATCTGCTAGGGATTCCCAACCGGCAGGGTTGATTTTGCAAGCCTTCATGTCATGTTTGCGGACAACGTTGGCCTGCCAATAATAATAATAATAATAATAATAATAATAATAATAATAATAATAATAATAACAACACTTGGTTTTGAGTGAATGAATCTTTATTTGCATCAGCCACTGGCCTTAGCAATAAAACAACAATACAATATACAAATAAAAAGTCAATTATGTAAAATACAGTTCAGGGTTTTGGATCAATAGTCAAATAGTGGAAAAAATGACACTTGGTTCTAGCCTGGCCTTTTTCTCTCGACTCTGTGCTGGGCTGCTCTTTCTAAACCTTCCTGTTAAGAAACTGGTCGAAACTTGAGACACTTCCAGCAGTAACATCCCTCCTGTCCCTGATCGATTGCCTCCTTGCCTCTTGCAAAACGGGTTCCTCAAGATATCTTGCCTTTGGGTTTGGACACACAAGGGCTGGCACAGAACAGCCCGTCTCCCTGGGAAGAAAGAGGTGAGGCCATGAAACTTTGTCCGAACGGGACTGTGCAGAGTTTTGAGAAAAGCACCACTTTGTGCTTATTGTTCCAAGATAAGCTGTTAGGGGTTGGCTCCAGGAATAGGGGAAAGAGACTAGGAAGCTGACTCAGGCTGAGTCATGGTTGGTCCTTCCAGCTTGGTATTGTCTCAGCATTGACTGGCGGCCGCTCTATAGGGATTCAGGTGAGGTGTTTGTGTTTTCCATCCCTGCCTGGGCTTTTTGCAGGTGCTCTACCGGTGAGCCACAAAATACAGATCCCAGCCTTCGTAATTCTGAATGAAGAACTGATTTACATAGGCATCTGCTGCCATACCTTAAATCAGGGGTTGGCACTTTTTTGTTTTGCCCCCTGTGGCCCCAAAGTTCCCCTTTCATGCTATCTGGATGCAGGAGACAGGGACCCTGCGGCAGAAATAGCAACAGGTCTTCATCCTGCCGTGACCCCAGACCACTAACTGTCACGGTCCGGTTCACGGGCAATCAAAGTCCTGGCTGGGGACGTCAGGACCGGGGGCAAGATGGCAGGGTGGGAGCAGGAATGGGAGTCCAGAAGCCAGGAGTCAGGAAGCCAAGAGTCCGAGGGTCAAAGAGCCGGGAGTCAAGAAGCCAAGGGTCCGAGGGTCAAGAAGAAAGGAGTCACAAAGTCAGGGGTCCGAGGATCAAGAAGCAAGGAGTCACAAAGTCAGGGGTCCGAGGATCAAGGAGTCACAAAGTCAGGGTTCGAGGATCAAGAAGCAAGGAGTCACAAAGTCAGGGTTGGAGGATCAAGAAGCAAGGAGTCACAAAGTCAGGGGTCTGAGGATCAAGAAGCACGGAGTCACAAAGTCAGGGGTTGGAGGATCAAGAAGCAAGGAGTCAAGGAGCCAAACGCAGCAAAGCAGGGAACGTGTTGCTGTGGCAAAGAGCCGAAGGGAAATGCTGACCTTATATCCCTTCCCGGCTCTTGCCACCAGGTGCTGTGAGTTACCAATCGGCCTCACCTGTGCGGCCGCGCCTCGCCTCTCCAGAACAAACTTAGGAAGGCCCCAGTCCTGCGAAGTCCTATTGGTCACAGGGCCTGGCTTCTGCACGCACTCCTGACACTAATCTTCTGCTCCTGCCTTAAGTGGCCGCAGTGTGAGAGGGTGACTTCTTGGTTCCCCCTTCCCTTCTGTTGGTTTTCAAGATTCTTCCTTTACAGCACAATCCTGTCTGTATTTAATACAAATCAGGGTCTGTCATTGTGCATCTGCCCTTGATTCACAGTCACGCTGCATGGTGGGCTTTGTAATCCTACAGCTGTTGGTGTTGTTCTTTGGAAGCCATGGCCCAGGTCTTCAACAAAGGGCTTTTTGTGGGTTCTGTCCGGTGGTGGTGGTACGAATATAAGTGAACACAATAGAACTCCCATGTTCAATTATTATATCGCTGAAAACTCAATTCTGGGAGGCAGACAAAAGGGGCAAGGGAGCTGCTGCCTTCAGGCCCTGCATGCGAGTTCCTTGGAGGAATCTGGTCAACCATGACTGGATCCCCAACCTTTGTAGAGTTGTGTGTGTGTGTTTGAGGTTGAATCCTGACTTGGGGGGCAGGAGACGGGCAGGTGTGGAGGACCTGAATGGGGTAACTGTGCCCCTGAAGGACCAGGTGCACAGCCCCTGAAGGACCAGGTGCCCATCGTTCTGCCTGGACACTGAGGTCCACCTCTGAGGGCCTTCTGGCGGTTCCCTCACTGTGGGAAGCCAAGTTACAGGGAACCAGGTGGAGGGCCTTCTCAGTAGTGGCACCCACCCTATGAAACGCCCTCCCATCAGCTGTCAAAGAGAAGACCAACTACCAGACTTTTAGAAGACATCTGAAGGCAGCCCTGTTTAGGGAAGCTTTTAATGTCTGATGCCTTACTGTATTTTAATATTTTGTTGGAAGCTGCCCAGAGTGGCTGGGGAAGCCCAGCCAGATGGGCGGGGTATAAAAATTCTTCTTCTTCTTCTTCTTCTTCTTCTTCTTCTTCTTCTTCTTCTTCTTCTTCTTCTTCTTCTTCCTCCTCCTCCTCCTCTTCCTCCTCCTCCTCCTCTTCCTCTTCTTCTTGTGATCCAGCAGAGATCTTCTTATGTCCACTGCCACGATTGTCCTCAGCGCTAGCTGATAATGTATTGAAGTTCTCCAGACTTGAACATCTAAATTAGCTGGGGAAGAGCTTGCTAGAGCCCACATCATGTTACTGTGTGACCTTTACAGAAGCTTACAATTACATGTGGACCCAACGGCAACAAAACATTGCATCATCAACATGCTACATAACCAGTTGAATCCCCCCCACCCTCACCAGAACAAACCAATCCAAACTTGGGGAAAAATCAGTGCAGGTGACTTACAACAGCCAGTTACGTAGGGGGGAAATCATACACACTCAGATAAAAGCAAACATGGAGAATTTATGAATGCCACCCTTTTTGATCCTTGCTCATTAGCACCGCACAATTCTATTCGGTGACCTTCAACAGGACTAGTGCATTGCACACCCATAATCATCCTCGAATCCCTTGCTTGATTTGATTCTGAATTTAGATTCAGCCACCTGACCGATTGACCACCTTTTGGAGCAAGCTACCTTCGCGGTGAGTATGGTATTTTTCTTTCCCACAGCCAGGGGGCTGATTCTTTTGGGATCTCTCTTTGGTGGATATTGCAAATTTTATGACATTGCAGGTGCAACTGCGTGCTCTGTGTGAGCTCTCACCCTTGGCTCTTCTTGATAAACATTGGAGCAGAGCAAGTATTTCTGACATAGTTTGAAAAGGCCAAAATTGGTTAAGGAAGACATTTCTCTCTCCCCAAATAATCTTTATTAGTTTTTCAATTAGATACTCCACATTTTATATCTTGTTATTCATTTTCCATATTTGTCCATAGTGTAAAGGTAAAGGTAAAGGTACCCCTGCCCGTACGGGCCAGTCTTGACAGACTCTAGGGTTGTGCGCCCATCTCACTCAAGAGGCCGGGAGCCAGCGCTGTCCGCAGACACTTCCGGGTCACGTGGCCAGCGTGATGAAGCTACTCTGGCGAGCCAGAGCCGCACACGGAAATGCCGTTTACCTTCCCGCTAGTAAGCGGTCCCTATTTATCTACTTGCACTTTGACATGCTTTCGAACTGCTAGGTTGGCAGGCGCTGGGACCGAGCAACGGGAGCGCACCCCGCCGCGGGGATTCGAACCGCCGACCATGCGATCGGCAAGTCCTAGGCGCTGAGGTTTAACCCACAGCACCACCCGCGTCCATAGCGTAGCCATAAACAAATAAGTCCTCATGTTTATACCATTCTTGCTGTCTGTCTGTATTCATTTATTTGAATTCATTTTTTAATAGGAGCTCAATGATCTTAAACACAAAACAATGTGGTCCCTTACAACTCTACAATTGGTATATGATTCTATGGTTGAGGATGATGGGATTTGGAGACCAGCGACATTATGGGCCTTTCCTAAACAGAATAACCACCAAAACACAGACACCCTTTTGCATTTGCAGTTCTTCGGATTTTGCAATGCTGTTCTCCATCCAAACCATGCTTAAACAAACACAATCTATTCAGGGAAAGTGTCCATAGGGATGAATATATTAGCGAAAACGACATGCAAAATGCATTCTATCTGGGGGAATTGCTTGCAAAAAGGTGCACCATATTAAGAACCACACAGAAAAATGTGTTTATTAGGAAAAATTCACACTAAAACGCTGGTGAATTTTTACGAGGATTGCAAAACCCCATAGAAGCACATTTCTGCAGAAACGTAAAGAGCTGATTTTAAAGTGGGGGAAAGATGAGAGACGTGAAACTGACAGATCCATCCCTACTGAGTGCATGAAGCCCAATTCGCACCATACATTTTAAGCAGTCTTTAAGCCACTTTAAAGAGGCAAGGCTTCCTCTAAAGAATTCTGGGAACTGCATTTTGTTAAGGGTGCTGAGAGTCGCCAGGAGACCCCAAATTTATTACGGTCAAAGACCAGCTCGCAGGCAAGAGGGATTGCTCACTAATCCACTCTGAGAATTATGTCACTTGTGGGTGGTGCTGTGGGTTAAACCAGAGAGCCTAGGACTTGCTGATCAGAAGGTCAGCGGTTCGAATCCCTGCGACAGGGTGAGCTCCCATTGCTCGGTCCCTGCTCCTGGAAACCTAGCAGTTCAAAAGCACATCAAAGTGCAAGTAGATAAATAGGTACCACTCTGGTGGGAAGGTAAACTGTATTTCCGTGCACTGCTCTGGTTCGCCAGAAGCGGCTTAGTCATGCTGGCCACATGACCCGGAAGCTGTACGCCGGCTCCCTCAGCCTATAGAGCGAGATGAGCGCCGCAACCCCAGAGTTGTCCATGACTGGATTTAACAGTCAGGGGTCCCTTTACCTTTACCTTTATGTTACTTGTAAAAGGGAGTCCTTGGAGCACCTCACAATTGCCTGACCTTGACTCCCATAGCAAGAGACTTCAGCCAGGAGATAGAAGCAAAACAGCGGCCTGTAGGACTGATTTTTATTGTCGCAACAAGACTTCTCAATACCAGAAAAACGAAGGAGCCAGAAGCCCCCGACAATGGTTACATCCAGTTTTTTTAAAGTTTCCCACAATACATTTCCAGAAGCATCATCACGACATCATAGATAAGTCACAGAAAAGGTGTGCTCTCAGGTAGATCCAGAGATCCAGGCATGCCCTGTCACTCAAATATACAGTCAACCCCCCCGTTGTCGAATGTAATCTGTTCCGGAAGTGCATTCGGTTTCCAAAACGTTTGGAAGCTCCTGCAGCCAATCGGAAGCCACGTCGGACGTTTGGTTTCCAAAGAACATTCACAAACCGGAACACTCACTTCTGGGTTTGTGGCGTTTGGGAGCCAAAACGTTCAACTCGCAAGGCATTTGGAATCCAAAGTACGACTGTACAGTGGACGCTCGGGTTGCAAAAGTGATCCATGTGGGAGGCACGTTTGCAACC